TTTCAATGAAAGGAAACAAATTTTTGGCTCAAAAGAAGTCTGAAAATTCGTCCCTTTTCATTGAAAAGGAACTTTTCGGCTTTAATTCAGATCTGACGGATCAGATCCGAATCCAATCTGAATCCGACAGATCAGATCTGAATCTGAATCCGAATCTGACGGATCAGATCTGATTCGAATCTGAATCCGAATTAGATCCGAATCTGACAGATCCGATCCGAATCCGATCTATCAGATTCGGATTGGATTCGGATCGATCCGAATCCGTGCGGAACACTATCAGAGTCAATAGTCATAGCTAGAATCTTTAAGCACTTGATTTTATATTCTACAGTGACAACACTTATTTTCAGCTCCTTTTTCTGAACAAAATCAATTACTATTGGATCATCCAAATAATCATCTTCCTCTAGATCTAGCAATATATCTTAGTAATTAGAATCTCATCACTTTGCTTTTAAATAAAAAGTGCTTATTTAGCATATTAGCTTTAGAATCTTAGATAATAAATGCAGGAAAAATTAATTTAAGTTCATTTTGAATGATCTTACAAATTGTATTCTCTAAAGTACTTTGTTTACTTTGCTTACTTTATTTAGTCTTACCAGAGCTAATTACAGGCTTCTCAATATCTGTCTTATCAGTTTGCTTAACAGATTTATGTGACTTAGATTTTTTCTTAGACTGCTTCTTTGAGGATGATTTCTTAGAATTAGACTTCTATTTCACTTTTTTTTTGTCTTAACTATATTAATATTAAGCTTACCTTTAGAATCAGAAGAATCAGAATCAAAACTTGAATTAGAATCAGAACTATTACTAAATAAGATATCGTTTGAGAAAGAATCTGAATTTGAATCTAAGTTTAAATCTAAAGCGAAATTAACCTTACCTTTTTTAGACTTCTTATTTTCTTTTTCTTCTTTTAAAAGCATTTGTGAGAATTATGTTCAGTCTTACTACAAATAGAACATTTATGTTGTAATTTTATGACCTTTTTAATGGCTCTAGCCAAATATAAGTTTAACTGTTTTTATAAGTTCAACAAGTTCATCATCAGAATTAACTTCAACCTTTTTCTTTGGCTTTAGTGGCAAAGTAGAATTAGAAATAAGAACAAATTCTGAGGTTTTTTCTGTAATCCATAATAAAAATCTACCTATATTTTTATCTTATAAATTTTTATGCGTTTCTGTAGGTTGTGGTTAAAATTGCAATAAAGTCACTTGTTAAAGCCGTTGAGGTTCTAATAATGCCATTGTATTTTTTATCAAACTCTCAATCTCATTTTTAGTCATCTCTAATCTGTTAGTATTTTCATATAGATTGGCCACTAAAAAAATTGAAAAAGAAGATGATGCACTCTATTAAGATAATGTAAATTTTTCCACTTCAGTCAATACTTCTATAATATTATTCTGGGTATTATAAAATTTGGCCATCATTTAAAGATTGTATTGATTCATTAGAAATAGACCATAAATAAATTACTCTCTTTGCTATTTAGGAGTCATTTCAACTAATTTACCAATCTTTTTAATTTTAGTGAAGAATTGCTTAACTGATAAATCATCTTGCATGAGTTGACCAAATACTGTTGTTTATTTTAAATGCTCAACTGTTGTATAAGCAGTTTTAAACAAGTAAAGAAGTTGATCAAATTTAATATCAGGAGCAATAGTAACAGCAGGAAGACCACCTCTAGCACTAGATGCTACTGGTGTATTATCTACAAGTTCATCACTAGCTATAGATTAGTCTTCATCTCACATTCCATTTAAAATAATATCAGCACTAGTTGTGACCTCTGCTTTAATTCTACTAATTTTAGCTCTCGCTTTATCTTAAAATTCTCTAATAGTATTCAAATCACTAATTCGATTATCACTATTTTCAGCATCTATTCCTCAAATAGCATTTAAGTCTGATACACTTAAGTTGTCTAAGAGATTATTACATCTCTAATTCTTGCTTTTAATACAAGTTAAATAAAAATTCAATGCATCACCTGCAAGATATGATATTACTAATCCAAATGCCTCTTCTCTTTTAGCAATTTAACCTGTATCAGATGTAACATTTATTCGACTAGCTATTATATATCTTTGCATATTTATAAACCTATTTTCTAGATCCTTTTCAGGATGACTATAAAATATTGAGAATTCGTATTCTACCATTCCTGATATATTTAGTGAATTATTTGTAATACTAAAATTTCTTTCTGTAAATTAAATATTACAGTAACACCTCCATAAATGCATTCCCCTGGGGACCAAACATGAACGTGCATTTATGGAGGGTATGCACTTATAGAACAGCCAATAGAAAAATAGATATAGTTACACAAAATTAAAATCTGAATGCATTTATTTAAAATTTTTGAATTTTTTAAAATTTTGTATAATGCGTATTTAATAGCTAAGTACTTTTAAAAAAATATGTGTTAATGTCAGTTTATCGCATCGAGCTTGTTTTTTTAACTTTAAAGAATTTTTCAATTTCTCATTAACTTTATATATTCTTCTGCATTGTCCTGTTGAAGTAGATACATGTGTACTGTTTCCAAACTAGCCACTGCAGTATTAGTACTAATAACAGGAATTTTACGGCTGTCATCCATTTCTTCTGAGTCTAAATTTTTCTCATCAGCATTTTTAAAAAGATACACAAATTCTTTAATGATTCAATCATCTTCAGGAACTTTGTAAACAATATCCTCTTCAGGAATGTTAAGAAACTCTTCTAATTGCATTTTATGGGAAAAATCAAGAGCTTGAAATGCATTCGTAAGATCATTAAGTACTGAGTTTTCATCATCTGAATCATTTCTCAAATCTATGTTTGCATCAATATGAGTAGGAAGAATCTTTGTATGGCACCAGCAGTTACGAATCGTATCAATTTTAACCTCATCTTAGGCTTAGATAATAAAATGAATTGCTTGCAAAACATTTATACGTAAGTCTTCCACGCGGTTACCTTCTTCTACATGTTGAAACATTAGGCTTTTAAAAAAAAATAGGTAATTAGATTTTGAGTGTTTATAATATTTAATAAATTTATTTATAAATATATCTTACCGTATATGAGAATGATGGTAATGTCTTTTAAAAGTCATTATGATTATAAAATCCATCAGTTAGATTTTTGAAGTCATGTTCAGAGGTAAAAAATGAACATTGGTATATTGTAAGGTAAGGCTAACTAATTTGTGGCTGGAATAGTTATCAAGAAGAAGTAATACCTGCTGACCTTGATACTTTAGACCAACTTAGCAATCAAACTTCCAAATCCACTCCTGAAAAAGTGATGTAATCATCCAGGCTTTGGCATTATTGCGATACATTATGGTATACTATGAATCCTTACATTTTTAAAACAATGCAGTCTTTCATATTTGCCAATTATTAGAGGTTTGAATTTGTATGATCTACCGGTATTTACACATAACACGATTGAAAGGCATTCTTTATTCACCTTATATCTAGTAAGATGTTTAATTGCAAGCATTTGATCAGGTTCTAGCTTACAATCATGCAAGATAAGTATTTCTTTTGTTTTAATTTTTTTGTTCTTTTAATTGTATTACTAAAAATTTTACCTATAAAATAGTCCAGTTTCATCCATATTGTAGATTCTCTCAAGAGGATAATTAGAGCAGCATTCCCTTAATAAAGGTAGAGCATTAGTAATGGCAACTTCATCAGCAGATGAAGCTTCTCTTTCAAGCTTTCATTGACGAATTCTATTATGATCCTTAAACTTTTGAAGCCATTCTTGAGAAAATTGAAATGCATTCTGGAAAATCCCTAATCTGTTGGCAATTATTTTGGCTTTCTCGATAAGTATTGCATCACTTAAATCATCTGATGCTGATATTTTAAAACAAATTCTTTAAGCGCAAACTTGAGTTTTGGATAAGAAACGGATTATGTCATTTTGTATTTGGGCTGATAATTTCTGAACCAAGTCGTTTGTCTGCTGTTTATAGGATAAGGATAATGGTACTTTTGCTAACTCTAAGGCCCCACTGTTTTTCAATCTAATTGATATACTGGGCTCAAGTTTTTTTGCTATTATCATGAGCGTATTTACAAAAATCTTGCTTTTGAATTTCAGTGAGAGTGGTTTTTTTAAGAGACATTTTTTGTTAATTTCAATGTATCAAATAACATCAATGAAAATTGGCAGAAATTTTTTATTTAGATACATGACAGAACTTAATCATGATCCTATTCCTTTTTGTGATATTTTCAACAATTTACTTTCTTTATTTATAGGTTTGTTTATACTTTATTTCCTCTTAAGTATAATTATTTTACATATATATTCACTTCTAAATTTTCTTCAATTAATACTAATTTGGTTTAGTTACAATGAAATACAAATATTTGTTCACACACTTGCACTCACTAAATACCCTTTTTTTTTACAAAAATGTAAATTTATAGTCAAATATATTATCTAATATACTTTTTTTAAGACATTCACAATACACATAAAATCATTGATTTACTGCGAATTTACCCATCAAATAGTATATTTTACTTCAATAATAAAATCAATCACGTGAATAAACAGTTGTTTCTGATTGGCTGGATTTATGTATTAGTCACATGAATGCATTTATAGAAGTATTCCAATTATACCTGAGACTTAAAATTACTTGCACATGTAGAATATAGAGGGTGTGCATTTAGCTCTAAGTCCTAAGCTTAGGATCAAGCTATAGTGTGCATATAGAGAGGGTGTGCATTTATAGAGTGTGCATTTATAGAAGTGTTACTGTATTTAGCATTCTTCATGTGTTTTATTTTTCCATTTCTCATATCTATCAAAAAGCTGATTTCAATTATATTCTAATATTCCCTGTTACCTTGATATTCATGCAGTTAAGCATTCAGTTATTGATTATTTCTTTTATAACCCATAAATCTCATGCTATCCTAGCCTTGCAGATCTGAAATTGAGAAATAAAAATAAGGTAAATATTTTTTTGAAGTAATTCTAGCTTTCTTCTTTTTAACCGATTATTAGTAGCTTCTAAATTTTCATTATAGGATGGAAAATCAGGCATAGAATCTTTTGAAATATCAGTATTATCCCCTAAATTACCTAAAATCTTATTATCAAATTCTAAATGAAAATTTGACATTTCAGGAGAAGAAAGACTTCTAACATATATAACTCATGTTAATTCTTAAACTCTTTTTTCTGTAGTATTAGTAAGGTCTATAACCAGTGTTGTTATGAGACATTGATAGGACACTGATAGAACATAGTTAGAACAGATAGGACATTTAAGACATAGTGTAGGATAGGTTGGAACATATAGCTGGAATATATAGCTAGAACAACAAATCTCTAGAATATCAAAAATATACATCACTACCTATAACCTTTAAAATTTTCTTATGCTTTTTCTCTAATAATTGGTAAACCTCTTGAAAAGATAAGTTTTCTTCTGGCTCTACTAGAGATAGTATTAAAGATGGAATACTAGTCAATAAATCCTCATTAAGTTGCTCACTCAAATTGCAATGATGCTTAATAGATCAGTCAAATTCTTCTTATAATATTCTAATAGAAACTTTCTCACTAAAGAAGCTACAGAAAGTGATTAAGGCTTTTCTGTTATTTTAATAAGATCCTCTTATAATATTTCATTTAGAGTTTCTGCATCTTTTAAAGCATTTTGAATATCTTATAATTCTCTATCACGCTCAGCTATTATTCTTTCAACTTGTAAAAGATTGTCTTCAAGATTTTATTAATTTTTATATTTTCTTTTTGTTTAAAAATATTTATAGAAAAAATCTTTATTATAAATAAACTATTAAAATGGCATCTTTGATTGATTGATATATTTAAAGTTAAGAAAGAAATAGTAAAATAGTTGATAGAATAGTATTAAAGGAAAGAAGAGATTCAACAGTTTTTACTAATATATTCTTTTTAATTTCATTATTTTTTATTTGTACAACTTTTGTTAACCAATTAGCCAAAAATTCAAGATTTTTTGTTATATTATGAACATGTAATTCTTCTGTAATATATGTTATTGTTCTTTTTTCTTTACCAGGATAATGATAAAGATGACCACCTAAACTTTTATAACAAGAACAATAAATACATTGAGAACTTTTAATATTATCAAAAACTCTATTACATAAAGGTAGATATGGTTATAATACTTTACACGCATGCTGTCTAATATAAGAAACTTGAATATTTTGTTTTATTTAAATACTAAAAATGTATAATATGTCCTATACCTCAAAAGAAAATGTTACATATTTGTTATAAAAAAAAACATCAGCATCACTGAATAATTTTTTTCTCAAAATTTTCTGATTATTTACTTCATGATTTATGTAAATATTTGTTATTAAATTGAAAATATGAATTACATACTCCTAATTTTAACAAAATACCATTGATTTTTTAACTGCATTTCTATTAACCTGCCATATATCAAATAAATTATATAACTGCTTTAAATTTTCTATTTCTTTATATTGTTAAAATTTGTCATTAATAAAATCAATAATTATACATGAAGTAAATTTTATTTACTCTGAATTATCTATGATTTTATCAAATTCTAGTTTAAATATTTTATTAACACTCTTTTGATTTTCTCTTTTAAAGTTATTAAATTCAAAGTTTTCAAAGTTAATATTATTATTGTCATCATCAGGTAAAATTAAATTTTGAAATTTAGTAAAAACCCTTCATATTCATTAAAAAAATTATTACTAATATTTGCTTTATTTTCTTCTTTAATATAGTCTAAAGAAAGTGAAAAGATAAAGGTAAGGAAGTATTATAACTTTGTTTTGATATTTTACAATATATATTTTACTAATTGTAAAAAAAAAGGTAAGAAGAATGTTGAAATGCAAGTTTTGTAAAACTTCTCTCGTCTTTATTACAAACAAAAATGCTCACTTAAAACCTCATGATATTATATCTAATAATTATATATAACAGAGTTTTGTATATAAAAATATTAAAGTAGTTTAATAATTTTTCATATATCATACCAATTGTTTCTAATTAAAGTTATTTAATAATTATTAAATCTCAATAAAAATTAGTAAGATTTAATTTTAAAATAATATAAAGTTACATATAAAATTTTAATATAAATTAATATATAAAATATTTTTTTTATTTGACATTAATAGTTTTACGAAAATGATTGATGTGATAATGATTTTTAACTAAAATAGACTCATTGTATTATTTTCACTGATTATTAAGTTTAAAAAAATTATTATAATAATTTTTTAAAAAATTCTTTAAATTATATGTTTAGGAATTAATTGAATTACTTTACTACTAATAAAAGTCATAAATTTCTTAATAAATTATAAAAAGTGTAATAATTAAGTTATTTTTCATAATAAATTTTATAATATTTTATTATGATTAATATTACTAAAAGTAAATGTTAATAAGATTATCAAAGGTCAATGATAAAATTTGTTAATTTATAATTTTTTTAAAAATTACAAATTTTTAGCTTATAAGTAACTGTAAATTATTTATTATATAATTAAAAAATAAAATTTATTATAATATAATACATATTTATAAAATTAATTTAAAAATAAATTTTAATTTTTTATAAAAGTAAACCAAAAGAAAATTTATAGTAAATAAACAGACAAATTTGTCTATAAATCTTTATAATCTAAGGGATAATAAAAGTCTAAATATTCTGAATACTAAATTTGTTATATTGAGTTTTGACTATATATAATTAATCAGATCACTTGTAATGTTAATAGTATTTTAAGACTTACTAAACCTCAAATTTGATATATTATAGATTAAATCAATTTGAAAACTATAATAATATTAATAATTGAAAAAATTTAGAAAATTAAAAATCTCAAAAAAATTGTTAATAATGTTAATAATTAAAATTATATACTATCAAAAATAAGGTAAACTTTTCTAATTTTTTAAGTAATTCCTTTAAAATCAGTTTAGTTAATTTATTTATGAATATATCATCAAAATCTATTATTAAGAAAATTTAAATAAGTATATTAAATAAAACTTAAATGTAAATTCCTAGAATTAATCCAAAAAAAATGAAATATTTTTATTAATATGACATTAATTAATATTAATTTTGAGAATTTTTAATTATTATTAAGGTTAAAAAAAAATGAGACAGTAAATTCTTCTGTGATATCTTAAAGACTAATATGTGATTTTATTGTAAAATAATAAAGAGAAAAGAATATCTTAAAAAAAATATTATAAATTTTTAACAGATTGTAAAGACTAATTAAAAAGAATTATTATATTATAATATTTTAAAAAACTATTTAAGTACTGTATAGCTTAATGATCTTATAAAAAATAAATATAAATTTATATTCAGTTTATATAAGTTTTTGCTTAGATATTATAATATTACAAGCTAAAGTTATTTTCATTCTTAATCTTTTTTTTTTGTAAGTTTTCACAAATATTATTTTAATTATATGAGATTAATTACCTAAAAAATATGTAGTATAATATTAAAATAACTTTTACTAGTTTATTTATTCATAATCAGTCAAAATTATTAGAAGTAATTTTTTTTACAAAAAATTTTATTTTTTATTCTGCAGATTGAAAAATAATATATTGATAAATCTATTTTTTATTAATTAATAAATTCTGTTTTTATTAATTAAAATAAAAAATATTTTATATATTAATATTTTGCAATAGTAAAATGAAAATTACCAAAAAAAATTTTTTATTTTATATATTAAATATTATTTTTTAATAAAATAAATTCAGATTTAATATTAATTCAAAAAATTTATTTGGTAATTTTCCTACTTTTTATTGCAAAATGCCTATATATTATATAATTAACTAATAGATTCTACTTTATTAGTTAGAAATATAAAAAGTTTTCATAATTATTATATAATATAGTATATTACTTTTAATAATACATTTAATCTTTATTTTTCAATTTATTAATTTATATATAAAAACTTTTTGATTTTATTAATATATTATACTGAATTTTTATTTAATAATCAGGATAATACAGCTTATAAAAAACTGAAAATTACTTTATTAAGATAGAATTATTTTGAAAAATAGTATATATTTAAAGGATAGAATATAGTTATAAAATTGTGAAGAATATAATTATTACTTACTATACTGTTTTGAAAATAAACAACAAGTGATAAATAAATATTTATTATTAGTATATAAAAATAATATAATAAAATACGTATAATAAATAAAATAATTATCATAAAAAAAGTATATTATGGGTTGCTTATTTTTAAAATGATACGGTATATTTGTATTATAAAAAATTTAAAAAAGTAGTAAAAAAAATATATAAGTATTGTAAATACAAATTTAAAAGAAATTACAGTATGTTCTTAAACTTTTATATTAATATCATATGATCTACTTATGTAAAATCTATATATAAGTTTTATTTTTTAAAAAAAAGTTCTAACATATAATTAATAATTTTCATTGATGTCTTTTTTTTCTAATATTTTCTGAAATAATTTATTTTAATCAAATTTTTTTTGCAAAAAATCATTAATAGTAAATATTTTAATTATAACATTAATTATAAAATATTAGAAGCATTTTTTGATCCTAAAGTATTATTTGTTTATATATATTTCAGACTTTATTTACTTACTTTGTTATTAGATAAAATTGTAGCTAAAATTTTTAAGTCTAAAATTAGTATTAATTATATATATAACTACGCTATTTATATAAGTATAATAGAAATTTATTTTTATTAGCTATTTTTTTTTATTATTAAATTAAATATATTGGTTAATACATAGTATATCATATAAAATTTATTAGTAATAGTAGTATAATATAACTTTTTCAGTTGTTTATATAACAAAAAAGTTTTTAATAATGTATTTTTCATATTTTAATTAAATTATTTAAAACTTTTAGATTAAGTAAGATTAAATATTTAAAGGTAGTTTATTATGTATGTAATATAATAAAAATATAAATATTATTAATTATTATATTTCATATAATATTTTTATTTAATTATTATCAGTATATGAAATTTAAACTAAAAATTATATGTATTAGTTATTAAATTTTATTAATAAAATAAAAAATTATATTAGTTTT